GATGCGCCTGCCTCTATGCCTTTCACTACTGTTACACCATGCTTCAGCAAAAATTCAGCTGAGCTCGCAAAAGTTGTTCCCAAACTTCTAATTGCCAACTTATGCGCTCTGTTAAATTTAATCTAGCTATAATTATAGACTGTGACCTCAGACAGTCCAAACTCTACATTAAGATTCAAGTAAATGAAAGATTTGATACAAAATTAAACCTATACGGGAGCCCCGCCACACCTAATTGAGGGGATTTATAAATCTTCCTGCTATATGAAAATATTTTCTTAAATTCTGAATTAAAAAAAACAAGCACAAGTAATGAACACAGGTTGTTAAAACACTGCTGCCTAACTTAGCCCTTGCATAAAAGCCACAGTTAAATTTTGAAGATTTTACTGAAATATAAATATCACCAATCACATCTTTTTTTTTTTTTTTTTTTTATTACACCAAGTGCATGCGTGCGTTATACCACTTTGAAGGTGTGTTTTTCGCCTAAGTGGGCAGCTGGGCTGCGGCGAAGTGAGTCACGAGATCGCGGTGTCAGCTCTGCAGGCATTGCTTCTCTGCAGTAAATCGGTGTTTAAGGAGAAGCGGACTTAAGGGGGCTAACCCTCTGCGATCAACACTTCGAAAAATATGAATATTGCAGTTGATTTTGAAGAAGATATCAAATAGTGTATAATTTAAAACTAGTATTTGATAATTCAAACATTCGCGCAGCTCTACTCTTTGCGCATAGTACCTAGGTATAAAAAAAAAAATTCATTTTCAATTTTCAGTGGCATTGCCAAGAATGCCACGTGCCAGACACTTTGTTTTCCTTTTTGAGAACAGCTTCCTTTCGGCACAGATATGGTGCGAATTGTGCACAAATACAACCTTTGGAGCAGTATGTAGCAGGGTTCTGGTGCAGTTTGGCACAAATGGTGCAGCAGTTCCATCACTCCCTTGGGTGCGGCCAGAGTTAACACCAAGCAACGTCGGAGAGGCACCTCATAAAACGCCGACGACTGCGGAGACGCGAAACATCCTACGGCTGCTTCGAAACAAACTGGACTGCAGCGGCGTTGACCGTGTTATTGCGACGCCTGGAACAGTTCGAGGAGAACTGATGCCCGGATAGAATTATCGGCAAACTGTACTTAATTATTTCTTTCCTCGGTAAAGCTCCCACGACAGGTTCATAACCAAGGTTCGCTTGATTAAATATGCAGTCAGAATGTTCTGCAGTATTCCCATCCACCTTCAAGGCTGCTGGCACTGTATTTTGGGCCCTATCGCTTTTATCGAATTACCGATTATATTGATTTGTTTTCGGCCGTTCCGCTGACCTCTTTATAACAAGAGATTACTGTATTTCTTTAGCAGGGTTCATATTAATAAGACAAATGTACCACACGTATCACCGAAAAAAAAAAAAAAAAAACTTTGATAGGCAAAATTATTACCAGAAAAAAAAATTACATTTAAGATAATTGAAAAAAAATATCCCAAATTTGAAATAAATAAAAACAAAAACGCTTAACTCTAGTTATAAGCGGGAGCAAGACACAATTCACCTGGTAACAAGCTTGCCTGAGATTCCTACCAACATGCACTTCACCAATGACTAGAAAAACAAATGTGCAAGGGTATCATAATCTTTCAAGAACCCCAATCATCGACAAGAGATAAACAAACGAAACAACCGGGCAGGTGATTTTTTGAAGTGCGACTGCAAGTTTATGAAAAATTAAAAATAAAAATGCAGGCACCACCTATGAACTTGCAAGACAAGGGAACCAATACCAATGGTTGTAAGAGCAGCAAACTCATGTTTCACAGTACTACTGGCACAGGCTTTGATGATTTGCCGGTCTGCAAAAACTGTTTGTTTTTAAATTATACAGATAGACCATTGGGATCCAGAGGGGGGCGCAAGGGGTGGCCCCTGCACCCCTCCCCCTTAGAATTCTGGAGGTAATGAGGTCGAGATGTTCTGGTGCCGTGCCGTGAGGCCGCGGTCACACTGCCAATATATCATACAAAGGACAGTCTGCATACACCGTCGGAGGAATGTTATTTTCCTTGTGTGACAGTCTTATCATGTTGGCCATACAAAACTATCTGCAGAGATGCTTGAAGCACACATACATTTGACACAAACCAATACCACAAGTCACAGACACGGCAAATTTGTGTTTCACAGCGCAATAAATATGCAGGAAACCACCACAGGCTTGCACATCGCAGGAACCAACATAGCGCGCGCAGATAGCAGACGAGAAAAAGAAATATGAGGGAACAAGCTACAAATTTGCACGTCACGAGAACTGATATGCAGATCCTGAATGCAGCAAATTCACGTGTAACGACGCAACAAACGCAAAAGAACCTGCCGAAAAGATGCTCGTCACCCGTACTGGTACCGCGTAAGTCGTGCAATCGGTATCCAGCAGGAATCGGGGAGGGAGGGGCAATGTTTTGGAATTGTTACGATATGAATATCTCGGTCAAAAAGCAGGATGGACAATCTCTTGGGGTGGGCGCTCACGCGGGATTTTGCAGTATAGAAACTTATCTTTAACATGTTTAGTGTGGGGGAGACGCCAATCTTGAATGTACTCCTGTCGTTTCCCATCCAATTTACATTACATTCTGCCGCTTGCCATAATAGCATGTACTAAGCACTTATAGAAGCCAATTTTGGGGGTCTCTTACGCACTGCTCCAAAAGAAGCTCTGCAGCCACCACTAGTGCGCTCAAGATGCTCTGTTCGCCCTTAAGCTGAGACTATAGTCAAAGCTACAAGCATGAGCTAGCCCACGCTCCTGGCTTTGCTACAAGCCTTCCTGGCAGGAGCGCTTCTTCTGCGTAGGAACGCTTTAAAGTAACAAAATAGAGAGCTGGGCTAGTTGGTCGAGGTTGAACATGGTGATCAGCGCTCGTCCTGTGTTGTGTTTTATTTTTCTTTGTCCTCGTTGTTACGCGCTGTTACACCAATGCCATGTTCACGCTTCGCAGCAGCGGCCTCGAGCTCTTGTGCTTGTGACATTGGCTGCAATCTCAGCTTAAGGTGAACGGGGTATAGTAGCGCACCTTGCAGAACCCCAAGCAGCAAAAAGTTTTCTGCCACTGCTTTGAACTGTTAACACCCTATGCTCTCCCGAATTCTTCGCATGCATGTTCCTGCATTTGGATTTTTGAATGAGTTCGCATATATTGCCTTGGTGCATGCAGCAGTCTTTCATTTGTATGGTCACTGTATAGTTTGGACTGGACTGGAGCAAACTCGTTTTGGGAGGAACCAGTGCGGTTCCCAACATCCCCTTTCGCTTCGTTCGTTAGCTTGTTACATCCACCTTCCATCTTACGAGAGGGAAAAAGTCTTCTGGCCAGCGTTGCTTTTGGCACGCTTCCAAGGACACACCGCGAAAGCAGGAGAGGAAGGAAGCCGTGGTGGCTGCATCTGAAACCGCCGACGCTTGGGAGAACAGACTGGCTCTACGAGCGCAACGGCATGCGTACTATCGCGAGCTAAGAACTCCCGTTTTTCGCCGAGTCAAATCTCTCACCCTAAATGCTGATGCATTTTGTCGAGAATCAGAATAGCGACAGTGGTGACTTTGGCGTCGTTTGCTCGGTCTTCCTTAACTCTTTCGCTACCACGGGAAAAAGGGCAGTTTTTACTAGGTGGAAGGAAATATTTTTTGGTGCAGATTCACTAATGCCTTATTTACATTGTTTGGTATCAAAATGTAGTTAAAAGAATTTTCTATTCGATAACATAAATGCTGCATATACATTTATTGCACAACATAATAAAAAAAATGTTTTAATGTAAAACTTTATACAGTGAGGATGTTGTTCTGCTTGACAAAGGTGGACAACTCTAAAAATATCAAGAGTGAAAAAAATTTCAAGATATGCATTCTGTAGCTTATTATGCCATAAAATGATAACACAATTTTCAGAGGGTATTGCTGAAAACTGTTCTTTGCGCAAAAAAAAAAGTTAGCGTGGGTGTGTGGCGTGCCATCCTCCAAAGCAGTCCCTCGTTGGGATGAAACACAGATACACACCACACGGCTCACAAAAAACTGCAGTCTTCCTTTCGACCTTCTTTTTCTCGTAGCAGAGCTTGCAGTTACGGCGCTTTTCTTGCACCTGGGGCTTGTGCTCAGACTTCTTTGGAGGAGGCGGAGGGTGAACATGTCTGTCGTCCATCCCGAAAATCTGGTTGACCAGCTCAATACGGAATGCGAGCTGGTCAAAGCCAGTCTTTCTGGTGAGCTCCTCTATCTCGGGGTGATGTTCCCTGTGTCCTTGGAAGATGACAAAGCTGTTGACGACAGCAATGTCAATGCAGTGGAAGAACAGTGTCTTCCACCACCTGACACACTTCATCAAGACATTGTAAGAAGCGATAAGTTGATCGGACTTGTCAACACCAAGCATGCCCTTATTATAGTCTTCTATTATGAGTGGCTTCCCTATGGGGATCCTTGTCCATCGGTCTCCTCTCTTCACTTTTCGCATTGCACTGACGTGATTGTTGGCAGTGTGGGCTGTGCTCATCATGTTTACAGTGCGCTTGTCTTTCCATTGCAAATACAGCACATCACGGCACCGCAGCCAGCGAATGTCCCCTCGAGTTGCTCTTTTCTCCCAAGTGGTGTCTTTCAACTGGGAGGGAAATCCGCGCCGATCTTTGCGCGTTGTTCCACAAGAGAGAGTCTTCCTCTCAAGAAGGTGTTCAAAGAGGGAGGTGGATGTGTAGAAGTTGTCAAGGTAGATAATGTAGCCTTGATCCAAATATGCATCACACAGGCGCGTTACAACGTCATAAGCCAGTCCCTTTGAGCTGGGTGTTTCTCGCTTCCCGGTGTAAACGCTAAATTGCACAGTGTAGCCTGTGCTTGAGTCAGCAAGGACCCACAGCTTGTACCCCCATTTGACCCCCTTGTCACGCATATACTGGCGTATTCCCGATCGTCCTTTTGATTTGACCATTCGTTCATCCACGCACAAATTTCGGTATGGCTGGAAATGCTGACATGACACGTCATTCATATGTTGCAGCAGATGTGTGATCCTGTGCAGCTTGCCATCGCGGACAGCGTCAGTCTTCTCCGGGTCCATGACACTGAGAAAAGCAAGAAACGCAAAAAATCGGCTTCTGGTCATGATCTTTGGAAGAATGAGGCCGGAAAATAACTCCGAGGTATTCCAGTATAGATGGAGGCGAGGCAGTTCCACAATTCCCATGTAGATCATGGACTCCTATGCACTGCATCACTTCATTGGGACTGAACATTTTCCATGAGCCGTCCTTTTCTGCGTACGTTTGCCTCTCTAAAATATGCGCCCACGCATATTTGTTTGTGTTCTCACAGATCATGTTGATTAGCTCTGCGGTGAAGAAGAGTTGGAAGACATCGACGGCCCGGACGAACCGCCGTGCGCTACTCCGGACCGCGCCGCCAACTTTGACTCCCGGGTTTCGTTTAGGAAAAAACTGTACGCGCTTCACAGCTGCTGGCAAGGAATCATGTCCGTATGACGTTGAGACCCTGAAAATAAATAATATAGCTGTGAGTACATGCTCCGCCGGTCATAACTATTTATTAGTAATCTAAATGTGCGCCCCACATAAAGCTGACACTCACCCGCTGGATGTTCCGGCTTGAGTTGGTGCATCCTCGTCATCGGTGCTGAAATCTGATGTGTCCACATCATCTTCAGTCTCACTACTGCTGATTGCATCCGCAAAATCGGCTCCTAAAGAGCTCGAAAGGCCAGAAGCACGACATCTTTTGGGAGCGCCCGCGCACGATGACGACGCCATGATCGAAGCGCTCGCCCGTCAAAGCTAAACTTTTTGCGACGCGGGGAGGAGCGCCGCAAAGCAGGAAACTAACAAAACATAGCGGAGCACGTTGTGTGTTTCCCACTTTCTAACCTAGATGGCGCTAGGCGCCCGTAAACCGCGCGAGCGCGCGAAAATTTGAACTGGAAGTGCGTCGATCAAATTGATCGATTTGAATAGGCGCGGTAGCGAAAGAGTTAAAGGGCTTTCAATTCATTTCTCTATTTATGCCGCCCAGCCCATTACTCTTATTTCTCACTGTGAGAACTGGGGCTCGTTGCACGTAAGGTGTAATTTGCCATACGTTTTTTGCGAGCTTCTTTTCACTGATAATCATTGTCTTTGGTGTTGGCACGAAACAAATTGCTAAGATACGGCCATTGCCGAAGACGAACCGACACCAGAACATGTTCGCCCGTTTTCCTCGGAAATAAATTCCAGAAAATCTAAGGCTTGTGTATAACCGACGAATAACGAGCATGTAGCTTCCACCGCAATGCCACCTTGGATGCAAACCAAGTGTAGCCAGGGGCGCCTCTGGTCACTAACAAGGTGAGAGCGACACGGAGGAGCGTTGGTCATCCCGCCTACGGTGCAAGCTTCCTACCTTCGATTTCTTGTGGGCCTTGAGCGCGCCGGGCAGTCGAAAGACACGCCCCGCCTTTCTCGCTCCGTAGGTGACCATAGCCCACGCCACGCAGCCGCGACATACAAATTATGGAGATCATAACGTGCCGCCGACTCTGCGTTTGGCGTCCCATTCAGCCCATCATGGAGGTAGGAGGGTTTCGGAGGCGACGCGATGCAGCCAGAGGTGAAGCCAGAAGGGTGAAAGGACACGCCCCTGACGATGACCAAAATCGAGAGATGCCATTGGACAGAGAGGAGAGCCGACTTGGCACCAACAACCGTCAGACTCAGGGGGCCCCGAGGGCGACAAATGTCGGTGCCGAGTCGGCTCTCCTTTCCATCCAATGGAGTCTCTTGGTTTTGGTCATCATTGGGGGCGCGTCCTTCCACACCTCTGGCTTCACCTATGGTGGTGTCGTGTCGCCTCCGGAAGCTTTCTACCTCTGTGGCCGCCAGGATCGTGACCGGCACCACTGCAGACTGTTCTAGGAAGTCGTCGGGCAGAAACCGAGACTGCTTTTTTGGGTGCAGAAAACGGACCGGTTTGAGACGTATTGCGGGCACCGGGGCGCTATGTTGCCGCAGAGCCGCGGGGGGTGACCCACCTTCTGAACTTCTTGGCCGACTTCTTGACGCTGCCCCCGCCTCCCCCCGTGCTCCTGTGGTGGTGGTGGTGGGAGCCCCCGGCACCCTTGTTTGCGCTCCTGGCGGCGGGCGAGGCCGGAGGGGGCGACTGGGCACCCCCCCCTCCCCCGTTGAGTGTGGAGGAGCCCCCCGACGAGCTGCTGCTGCTGCTGCTGCTGGACGGGGCTGCTGCGGGGGGAAGCGGGGCGGAGGGAGGGGGCGCGGCCCCTCCGGACTGCGGCAGGGAGGCCGCGGGCCCGTTCTCCTCGCTGCCGCTGTTGGGGTTCTGCGACTCCGACTCGCTGTTCCGATCTGTGGGGAAAGGGCAATGTCGGAGGCGGGAAGTTTGCGTCTTCTCACTATCTGACCATTGGCCCACGGTTTGACGCCAACGAAGTATGTCACCCGCGTGGCAACGTCGTAACTGGGGGTGTTGCGAACCTGCCGAGGTTCGAGTTCGACCAAGTTAAACTTTTTCTAACTTCCGATTTGAGGTTTGACAAAAATGAAGTTTGACTTCTATGCGCAGTTGCAAAAATTTGAACGAGATGATGCCACCTGGTGGATGAAAATTGCAATATATGTGGGATGAACTGCTTCACTGGTTGGCACTAATAACTAACATATGTCGCATAAATATTGGTAATCATTTTATAAAATATAAAATAGTAAACTACCTGCTAAGTTTTTTGTTTCCTGGAATTCGAAATCTTCACGTAGAAGCCGGGTAACGCCGTCCATAAGTCGAACTTCGTCGAACTTTGCAAAAAGTTTGATGGTTTGCTAAACAAGTTGAATCTGGCGGGTCGATGCAGAATTTCGGGTTCGACGAAAGTTTGCGACATCCCTAGTCATAACCTTCTTTCGAGAGATCACCATTCAATCAATTTTTGCGAGGATTCCCGAGCCTTTTCATCTCGAAGAACACCCGTCTTTCTAGACCAATAACCAAAGAACCCTTTGGAATCTTGGCACTGAAGCAATAAAACAGTACGGAAGCGTACAGACTTCGTACTACAGAGTATTTGGCACATAGCTATACATCGAAAGTAGCACTTGAATTGCACAAATGCCTTACTTTACAGCTTAGAAAACCATTGAGGATGCTCCGGGGAGCCCCTAAGTTCCTAGGATTCAGTTTGAGAACCTATCGCTTCTACCATAGAACTCCAGCTTCCTTAGTCAATCGCACAACCTTCTCTGCCGGTGAGTTGTCTACGACCTATTACAACCTAATTCGACAAAAGGTAAAGGCTACAATGCCAGCGAGTCAATGACAATGCCAGAGCAAGACATATGACAACAGACTTTCAGGGTGCCCTACTCCCACAGAAAGCTGTCACATGCTTTGATTAGACACACTAATAGAATCTTCCTAAAGCGTGCGACGCCGTCTGCGGCGCCGGAAGGAATGCCGGGGACACTAGGTACGGCTGGCTCTAGCAGACGACAAGAGGCAAACTTTGAGGTGATGGCGGGCGGGTGAGGGCGGGAGAGCAACAGTGCCACGCGGTAAATTCTGCGGTGGCAAGGAGGATCACACAGAACTTAGCGTGTGGCGTTTCGCTACTTTAACAAAAGTTCTCTCGGCTGGCGGAGGCGGTTGTTTTTGCCCTTCGCGAGTTACGCTGAAACGGAATGTGACTGATACCACCTAGAAGAAAAGGCCTGCACCTTTCCACCCCAAACACCGTCGCCGGTAGATCCACAAAGCACCACTCAGCGCGCATCGAAATCGTCGCCGGCGCGTCCCGCAGCACCTCACGAGCGCGATGTTAGCACGTAGCAGCACCAAGACAGACGCATCTGCGGCAACCCTCGGCGAGCTTTGGAGTGTTTGCCGCTTGGGGAGGTGGGCTGTGGATATGTTAACGATGATGCCATGTGCAAGTATTGTCTTCCAAGTGGTACTGATATACAGGTGAACCTCGATTTAACGAAGTCGTAGTAGTAGTAGTACGTAGTAGTAGATTGGGGTTTTCTGGCGCAAAAGCAACTAAGACTATGATGCGCCAAGAAATGATACTATTGCAGAAGAGGATTTTGGAGAAGAAAGAGCATTAGTAGCTGGTAATTTGAAAAATGTATAAAATAAGAGTAGGATCTTACATTATAAATAATGCAACAATTTGTGTAAGAGATCAACGCTTTTTAAAAACTTAAAAACCTGGGTGGGTGGGAGTAGTGGCTCATTTCCAAGTAACACACATAGGTGTAAAGGAACATGCTCTTTGTACAGTTGGGAAGAGTAGTGGAGGCGTTTTTTTTTCATAAGCAGGACATTCTAGAAGAATATGTAAGACACTTAACGGTTCCTGGCGATGTTCACATTCAGGAGGGTCCTCCCCACGTAAGAGGTGTCCGTGCGTGAACCACGTGTGTCCAATGCGTAGTCGACAAAGGACTACCTCATAAAACCTGTCTCTGTGCCTAGCACTCTGCCACTCACTAAGAAAAGGCTTAATCATATGCAGTTTGTTTGACACCTGTAAACTCCATTCTGCTTGCCACTGAGCTTTAACATGACATTTGATTAGGGCACAGTAATCTCTGTATGGGATGCTACTAATGTCTACAGCACGGGTGCCAGAAGTGCCCGCAGCACGATCTACCTCTTCATTCCCTGGGATTCCGACATGGCTCAATACCCAGCAGAATAGAACATTACATCCTTTCCTGGTTGTTGCTACTATTTTGTTTTGTAATAAAACAACGAGGGCATTCTTTGGGGTTTCAAGCGACGTCAGAGCCCGTAAAGCACTCAGCGAATCTGTATATATAACTGACCGAGAGTTACTTGTTTGGATGATATGATCTAATGCAAGCAGAAAGCCATGCAGTTCAGCAGTGAAAACAGTAGCCGACGAATTTAGCCTACGAACACTTCTTACTAGAGGGCCAATCATGGCACAGCCAACAAATGATTCAGTTTTTGTGCCGTCTGTGTAGTCGTGGGAATGAGAATCATGTTCCTTGTGGAGTTCGAAAATTTCTTGTCGCATGACCTCAGTTGGGGTATCCTTCTTATTGAACTTTGTTAATGAAAAATCACAACATACGCAGTTAAAATCCCATGGTGCCATTGTCCTTGCAACTGTATCAACTGGAAGCTTACTGTCTATCCCAATAGACTCTGCCAAATTCCTGTTTCTCATTGCAAATGGAGGGATAAAGCTAGGCTTGTTTTCGAATGTCTTCTGATATTTAGTGCCCTCCACAGCCTCCCGGGCTGGATGCTGAGTGACTGATCGTATCCTTAACGAGTACATAAATCCCAGGGATAATCGCCGTCTGTCAAGGGACATCTCATTTCCCTCAGCATAGATACTGAGCACAGGTGATGTTCTGAAGGCTCCAATTGTTAAACAAAGTCCCCGTTGATGGATGGGGTCCAGTGCCTTAAGAGCCGATTGCCTAGCAGATCCGTATACAAAGCTGCTGTAATCCAGACGTGAGCGAATCACAGAGCGATAAATTTGTAAAAGACATGGACGATCAAAGCCCCATGTCTTGTGGGACAAAACTTTAAGGAGGTTAGTGATTTCTGACATTTTATTTTCAGATTCTTTATGTGAGATATGAAGGACAGTTGACGGTCGAAAATAAGACCCCAAAACTTATGCTCCTTCTTTACCGGGATGGGAGTCTGGTGCATTCGTAAAGAAGGCTCTACAGAGATTCCCCTTCTCCGAGAGTAGCAGACACACACTGTCTTATCAGGAGAAAGCCTAAAAACCATTTTCGTCTGCCCACTTCAAGAGGTTGTTGATTGCAACTTGGAGTCTATGTTCACAAATGGAAAGATTGCATGATGAGATGGGTATCTCTAGATCAACTACATAAAGAGAATATTGCACAGATGGAGGTATAGACCGGACTATTGAGTTCATCTTGACAGAGTAACACTCAAGACACCACCTTGTGGAACTCCAGTCTCCCGAATAAATTTTCTGGAGAAAGCAGTACCCAACTTCTCAAAAAAGGTTCGCTCAGATAGATAGCTCTTTATGACACCAAGCAACCTCCCACGTACCCCTACTTCATACAAGTCACGAAGGATTCCATAGCGTTATGCTGTGTCGTATGCCTTTTCCAAGTCGAAAAACACTGACACGCAGTGTTGTTTATTAACAAAAGCCTCACTAATTGTGGTTTCAAGACGCACCAAGTGGTCAACTGTGGAATGGCAGGAACGGAACCCACACTGATTTTTATCTAAAATGTAGGCATGTGCGAATAGTGGTTTTTAAGTTCGAAGCGAATACGAAGCGAATATTAATTTTCCTCAAATAACTTCGAAATGAATAATTCGAATAGTTGTGGGAAAAAGTGATTGGAAATCGAACACCATAATAAAATGCTGACCATTTATTCTCAACACAAAAGCACGAAAGTCCATAAACCTCTGCTGAGGAGGAAGAGTCTGGCGTTCTCATGCAGACACACAAACTGCTGAACATGATCAGGTAGCAGAAGCTCCCTCCTGCAGTTCACAATGGCTCCCACACTTGAAAATAACCTTTCACTCGTCGTCTGTGTTGCTGGGATTGACAGATACCTACGGGCAACGCTGACCAGAGATGGATATAGGTGGTTTCCCTTTGACTTCCACCAGACCAGAAGGTCTTCAGTGCGTTCTAGAAGAGGGCTCTTCAAGTACTCGGCTGCCTCGTCTGCGCCTTGTTGGCCTGTCTTGCGACATGCGGCGGAACTAAGGCTTGAAAAGACACCCCACATGGAGTCTTCCGGCAAGTACCCCAGGCCTGTGCTAGTTCCAGCCGTTTCATCATGAAGGTCATTTTTTAACATGCTGTCTTCCACAGCTTTTGACAGGAGACTGCGTGCCCATTTTTTTTCACTTTCTTCGATGTAGCAAATGTCCTTGAACCTAGGGTCCACCACATGGCCAGCGCTGGAAGGCGCAACATCTTCAAATCCGGGAATCTTGTCCCGATGCTTCGTAGCAGGCTCGAGGCAAGTGATGCTGCCTCATCAGCAGAGTGTTGAGTCAGGACAAGCCTGGTGCAGTGCAGCAGTGGAATGACTTGTGACAGCGTTGGGTAGCTGTCCCCTGACAAATAAGTTGTTGCTTGCTCAAGGGGCTGCAGGACCTTCACTGCTCCACTCATGAGCTTCCACTCACTTGAATTCAGGTTTTCAACAGTCTCACATTCAGAGAGCTCAACCGTGACAGGCACACAAAGTTTCATGAGCCTGGCCATCATGGCATGCTCACTATTCCAGCGTGTTGGCACATCCTGCACAACTTCTAGTGGATCTAGTAGCATGTTTTTCTGGATCTCCATAAAGGC